GTCTGCTTCTTCTGACAGACGCTCATTGGCAGATTACATTGGAGGAAATGCGCAGTTAATCAAAGGCATTAGACATATTTGAAAAGTGCAAATAATGCCTATGAAATCCTTCCTAGAGTAAAGTGCTGTTTAACGAAAAAGATGTCCGCATCAGTGCTCACCCTATCTCGTCCTCAGCGACCATCATCGATCAGAGTCTCCGCGTCCCTTGCACTCTAGCTAGAAAAACACATTCTTTCAAGGTCACCTTCTTTGATGATGAGTCAGCATCAGGTCAACTATGTGCATGTAATGTTCTGAGATCCTCAAAATCGGTATGGTTCTTTCATACGGTCTCAAAACGTCTACAAGTGAATGTCTACCAAACACACATCAGGATTCTTTCACAGTAATGACCCCATCTGCAGACGGAATGCTGTGTAAATCATTTCTGGCTTAGTCGTCGTCAACGCCTCACGTTCCATGTCCATACCTGAATGCTCCTTCGTTTGCTACGTGTGTTTGAATGGTGGCAGGCTATGGAGGTTGGGTATTGAGGACACAGTCAGCCAGTCGCGGACGATGTTTAGTCAATGGGGGTTATATGTGTATATTGTGCGCTCGGAGTAAACACGGGGGCACAGGAGTGTTCTCGAATGAAGGAGGCACTTTGTACACCATTGTGCAAGCACTTGGACCTGAAGAGGCTAACGCACCATCCGCTTGGGTGTTCCTTCGACTGTGCTTCTGAAATAAGCTTTTGATATAAGTTATGCAGGCAGAAAATTTGCGCAGGCGAGTGGGTTGCACGCCTAGGTGCAGTTTTTCGTCTCCCCAGCCACCCGCTCTCTCCTCCCTCGAGCCTCCTGTCTTCTTGATGCCGTCATGACACCGAACCCGAGTGGGGAGAAGGGAGAGAGTGCGGCAGACGCTTTGCAAGTCGATAGTCGCTATAAAAGAGGTCATGCACAGGTTACCGTCTTTGATCTCTGCCTGCTGTGGAGCACGACGTCGGTCGAACTACAGGTTGAGCGAGTAAAAGCAACTTCCAGCCTCACTGTTTAGCTATTGCTGTAGGTGGGCTAACTCATTAAATGTCAACCGAGATTCCGAAATGCATTTTCGTTTCGGAAAGATTAATTAAGTAGGAGTGTAAATCTAGTCAGCCTGCAACATAATTCTATAATATTCCAGTTACCTTAGGATGTCGGTTTTCGAAGGAATTTCCTTAGGGCTGCATGCAAAAGTTACACTCTGTAAAAAATGACTACATATGTAACATACATTTTCCCATTGATTTTCGATGCCCCTAAAAGTCCAATTATATTTCATGGAAAACATGAATAAAAATATTCATTCTTCTGCTCAGTTGGTACAAAATGACGTCAGCTTTTAATTTTATACTCAAAGGAGGGACATAATTCGGTTTTCAAAAACCTTTCCAATTTCTGAATAATTTTGAACCCGCACTACTGTCACACTTAGATTTAGGGTTTCCAAACTACAAGTCATATATTTTCCGCGTACAGAAAACCAAACATTCCTCTACGGTAATAAAGGGGCACCACACAGGGTTTATCAAATTTATCAGTGGATTTGATCCATATTGTTGACTTTACAAGCCACATTGATAAATGCAGAGACATGACGATTTATGAGCGGCCATTGTTTGGTATCTAAGAGTTCCACAATGAAAAACGCTTTTAAAACCGAATTATGTCCCTCCTTTGGGTATGAAATCAGAACAGAACGAAATTATCTACTGCATGAGCGAAAGAAAGAATATTTTTATTCATGTTTTCCATGAAATATAAGTGGACTTTTAAGGGCATCGAAAATCAATGAAAGAAATTCATGCTGCATAAATAGTCATTTTTTACAGGGTGTCGTTTTTACATGCGGTCGGACGGAAGTTTATTCGAAAGCCAGCATCTTGAGGTAACTGAAATATTGTGGAATCATGCTGCATGCTGATCAGTTTTCCAGCCCCACTTAATTAATCTTTTCGAAACGGAAACGCATTTCGGAATTTCGGTTCGGAGTTTGCCCACCTACTGTAGGTGCGCGCCTGTGCTGCCCGTAACAGATGCTGCTCGATAACATCGTGAATTTTGGCGGATCCCTGCGGGGGGGGGATTGAAGTCCGGCCGATTTTCCAGCATACTTCTTCTGACAGGCGCCCATTGGCAGAGTACACTAGAGGAAGGGTGATGTTAATCAAAAGCATTAAGTATATCTAAAAAGTGCAAACAATGACTAGGAAGTCCTTTATAGACTGGAGTACCATTTTACGAAAAAGATGACATCATCAGTGCTCGCCCTCCCTCGTCCTCGGCTACCAGCATCAATCCGAGTCTCCGTGCTTCTTGCACGCTATCAAGCAGACCACATTCTTTCAAGGTCACCTATTTCCGAGGGTGAGCAGGCGACATCAGGGTCAATGTTTTGAGGTTCTCAAAATCCCTATGTTTCTTTCACACGGCCTTAAAACGTCTACAAATGCATGTCTACCCAACATACGCCAGGATTCTTGGTTATGACCCGGTGCGCAGACGGAATACCGTTTGAGCCATTCCTGGCCTAGCCGTCGTCAACTCGTCGGGCTCCATGCCCAAACCTGAATGATCCCGCGTTCGCCACTGACGGGCTATGATAGGTGGTTACTGAGGCCACAGTCAGTTAGTCTCGGAACACGTTAAGTCAGTGTGGTAGGTAGGTATGCATATTATGCACTCGAAATTATTCCGGGGACACAGAAACGTTCTCGGAAGTAGGAAGAGCTTTGTACACCATTGTGCAAGCACTTGGAGCTGAAGATGCTAACGTATCATACGTTTGGGTGTTTCTTTGGCTGTTCTTCCGAAATGAAAGGCTAATATAATTTATGCAGGCAAAAATGTGCACAGACAAGTTTCTCACTGCAGAGCCACAGCGGCCAAATATTTCCTCCTCGTTCGCCATGCAGATCAGACCTGGCAGTCCCGTAGCAACTTTCTCTCCAATTCACGAATAAGCCGGAAACTTGGATAATCATCGCATGCCGGCGTTATTTATTTTTAAACGTCATTCACGTATACGCGTGTAATAGAACTTGCGAATACAATGTCAGTTACCGAGTGAAAACATGCTAACTCATGAAATGTTAACGGAAATTCTGAAATGCGTTTTTGTCTCAAAAAGATTACTTTAGTGGGTCGTGATATTAATCATCGTGCAGTATAATCCCATGATAATTCCATTAGTTCAAGATACCGCCTTTTTAATAGAATCTTTTTTTTGCTCGCTTGCAAAGGCTGCACTCTGTGAACTGTGGTTACTTAAATGGTGGGAATTTTCTCTCATTGATTTTCGATATCCTTATGAATTCCAACATATCTCATAGAAAACATGTATGAACATCTTTATTCGTTTACTCATTTGGTGGAAAAGTTGGTCCTCTTGGAATTATTTTCTTAAAAGAAGGCTATAATTCGGTTTTAAAAATGTTTTTTATTACGGGCTTTTTTGAACCTCAAAATGTCCATTCATAAAATACTGTCTTTCTGCATTTACTATTGTCGCTTATAAAGTTCACAATAGGTGTCAAATTTACCGCTTTATTTTATGAACCCCGCGTGTTCTCCACTAAGCGCTCTAGAGAAATATGTGATTTTTATACACGGAAAACATTCAAACTGTAGTTCGAAAACCCTGAAAGCAGGTGTTACAGTAGGTCGGGTTCAAAAGTTTTCGGGAACTGGAAAAATTTTCTAAAACTAAATGATCCCTTTCTTTCAAGTATGAAATCTGGAGAAGACGTAATCGTCTACCAGATGCGTAAGCAAATGAAAATTTTTGACCATGTTTTCTGCGAGATATATTGGAATTCATAAGAGCGTCGAAAATCAAAGAGAAAACATCCACGCTACTTAAGTAGTCATTCTTCCCAAAGTGGAATTATCACGGGGTTATGCTGCATGATGTTTATTATTGCAACCCTACTTAAGTAATCATTCCGAGTTGAATACGCATTTTAGGATTTCGGTTAGAATTTCACGAGTTAGCAATCTACAGTAAAATTTAATACCTATTGGTCAGATTTGCCCAAGTTATATGCAAGTGGCGTTAACTGAACTACTGCGGTTGCAGGGCCAAACGCTGCCATTTCTTTTGGCAGTGGAGCCCAGCCTAAAACAGACGACGGTCGACTATTCAGCAGTGAGCATCCCCGTTACACGTATCTATGGCTATACTCTGTCTCCACTACAAACTTTTGACGACGTATATACACATCAGATGATCCAAAAGTCAAAAATAGAAAACGTGTTTTCACCTGCGGAACAAGCATAGCTTTTTTTTCTTATAATGTGTAAATAAATAGGCGGAATCCAGCAGACAGACAGACGGAGGATTTCACGTGTCTCAAAATGTGTTGCTATGGCACTTCTTCGTGTTTTCGAGGGCATCTACGCTTTCAAGTAGCCCCAAAAATGAGGCTTCAGTAGCGTGAGATCGGGGTCCATGGACGGCATTCCCAAGTACTGAAGAATTACCGGTCAAAGAATTGCTCTCTTTTTCGAAAGGAAATGTTCAGTGAAGCTGCCATGTTGAGGCAGCGTCAGAGTATCCACCTTCTCTTTCCAGACGAATGTGTCCTCGTGGAACATAAGTAAATAGGTGTCCCCAAGCGACGTTTCTGTCACTGTGCGGGAGTCGAGGCTGGGCGCACCTGAGGGGGGGGGAGCAAACTCGGTGCTGCCCAGGTCATTTTGAACACCCACTCACATCCATTTGCAACGCCAACCTCGTCCCCCCTCCCAGTCACCATAGCCGTAACTGAATGAGCAGACAGTAATACCACGCAAGAGATGACCTACTCGTGGAAATCCGGCAATCCATTCTGCAACAGACGCGTCAGGCTTGTTTCCCCCTACTGAACTCTGCACAGCGACTCACTTCTACGGCTGGCAAATGCCGATAATGTCTGCAGTGTAACAGATAAAACGCGGAGTTGGCTGACTAAGCTCCCCCCCCCCCAAACCATGCCTTTGATTTATGAACGCGAGAACCGGCTCCAAATCGGAGAGTTACCGGCTGTTCATCCTGATGCTAGAGTCTTCGTTCCCAGCCGTATTTATCGAATCGAAACTGTTTACACTTACTTTCAGGATGTTCAGATGTTCGATGATACCTTCGTCGTCATCGAACGGGATCAGGTGTTGACATTCCAAGAACATCTCAACGCCGTCTTCCCGGACATTCAATTTACGATGGAGGAGGAAGAGAACAACCAGCTGGCCTTCCTGGATGTCCTCGTATGCCGCAAAGATTGTGGTGAACTAAAAACCAAAGTGTTCAGGAAAGCGACAAATACGATGCAAGTACTGAACTTCAACAGTAACCACCCAATCAGCCACAAGCGCAGCTGTGTAAGGACGCTCTATCGGCGGGTCGAAACGCACTGCAGTGAGCCGGAAGACAAAATTGCTGAACTACAATACCTCCGACGGGTCTTCAAAGCCAATGGCTACCCGCGCAACTTCTTCGACCGGTGCATACGCAAAAGGGACGAAAGGCCTAACCGCACGGACACCAAGTCTTGGCGGGCACTTCCGGATGTCACGAACCTTTCGGAAGCTGTCGGCCGCCTTCTCGCACCACTTGGGGTTGGAGTGGCACACAGAAAGGAGGCAACTATCAGGCGTCTGGTCATGACACCGAAAGACCCACTGCCACGGCTAGAAACGTCTGGAGTCGTTTATCGGATCTGGTGCAGTTGTGGACAAAGCAACTACGTCGGAGAAACCGGAAGACAGCTCCGAACGAGAATGGCCGAACACGCGGCAGCGGTGCGCAGAAATGACGCCAGCTCTCAAGTTGCGGCTCATTTGACGAGATCCGGCCACACATTCAAATTCGGTAAGACCGATATTCTCGCAAGAGGTGACAACCGCGTGAGCCGAGAGATACTGAAATCATGGTTTACAGGCCCCCTGTCCATCAACAAGTGCAACGATCTTCCCATTCCATATTCCGTGCTGAAACTTCGCCTAGGCGGAGTAACAAGCCATGCGGGAAGGGCAGAGGTGAACACTTTTCCCAACATCGGGGTCGGTGCGTCAGATGGTCGAGCAATCATCACGCCAACATCCAATGCACGTGATAAAATTGCAGCAATTATCGACTCGAATGTCGGCCATCAAGCAGGTGCGACGATCTCGGATGAAGGGGGGAGCCGTGAATGTTCATAGGAATGCGGTAGCATGGCTACTGCATCCTCTAAATACTACAGCCTCTTATGCATGAACCACCCGTATCTGCTTTTGTCTCTGATGATGTATTCGAGTAGGAATCCGAAACGTCAGGCTAGTAAGGCTCTTGTCCCGGCGATCGTGTCTCCTTCATCATCATCATCATCATCATCATCATCATCATCATCATCATCATCATCATCATGAGCAGCAGCAGCAGCAGCAACAACAACAACAATCCCTCGACAGCGGTTAGAAGAACGAGGATTATGACTGTGCAACCATGTCCACGACCTGTACGCCCAGAGAAAGCGCACACGCCTCTACCGGCAGGGAATCAGGTGTCAGAGAACTTCCAGCGCATTCCAGGCTGCGAGGATCATGATCTGCTGATGCTGAAATAGCCCACGCTTAATCATTTTGGTCGTGCAATGTCAACCAACACGCATACACCCTGCATGGCACACAAAGCCCTCGCAAATTTGGCAAACATACACATCTGCTTACAAATATCGGATTGTGGGAGCTTGGCATGTGTTCAGTTTGAAATATTAGTTTGTTAAAATACCCTTTTATCAAACTGTTACAAGACAGAAGTTATACAGTTTTCATTTCCAAACGTAAGCGTAGATCCCTGGATTTGAGTCAAAAGGCGGAAAGTGGTGTTTTACTGCCTAGTCGCTCCGGAGATCGTCTCAATCTCACAAGAAAGCAAGCAAAAGAAATCCCATAATGGCACGATATCAGTTGAAGTAAAAAATAAGAACGGAGAAGGCAGTTTGTAAGGGTAGCAGTAACTGGTTGAATTTTAACACTATCATTTTACTCCATGCGTAAGTGAGGTCCATTTGGTAATTCGTCCAAAATTTAAGGTCAGATTTTTCTCCCCTTGAAACTCATTCAAAGGCCTACTAGCGATCTTAATTCTGTCATCAATTTGCCGTACGGTCTACAGCTGTCAAGTTCACTTACGCTACTATGGAAGGATAATCAAAGCAGAATAAGCAGTCGCAATATCTAAATATCTTTATAAACTGTAAAACGGGCCAAACCTCCGTCGTCGGAACGAGTCCATCCCCTCTGGCAGATTCATATTATGACCTGCTTGAATACTAACTAAAAGTCTAAACGTTCCTGGGCTTTTAACGATTATCCGTGTAAGGAGTATAGTGAATCGATAAATATTTATATTCTACCCACTACCCGTTGATAGAATGTGTAGTGTATGTATTTATTCCGCTGGAGCTGATGAATTTTGGTATAATCTCCAGGCCGAATCCGGGAAAGTTTGTGCCGCATGATTTACATCGAAATCACTCCGTAACATCCGAAAAATTAAAAAGTTCAGCATTCCATTCAAAATTAGCTTTGGATGTTTAATACGACTGGCAGAAGGCCGTCCCACACGCAGAAAGTCATTGGCGTGGCAATACCTACCACCATGCGGGTCCAAAAATTCTCGTTAAATTAAGTCAAGCTATCTAAGTAAAATAAGTAGAAACCCTATAAAAATAAATTGTAGATGGGCTCACACAAGCCTCACTGACATTAACTGTTGACAGGAACAATTCTTCTATTGTGCCCTTGTTTAAACAAAAAAATAACTTCAAATACATATCCCTCCTGAACACGAGAGAAGCGGCGAACTGTGTTTTTGGTTTGCCCTACTTAAGCATGTCCTCAACTGATATAGATACAGAAATCGTTTGCTGCCGGTAGAATCTAACTAGCGCTATGAATGTAAAGTTGGCCCGTTCTGTTTCGGTTTATGTTAGTTTTAAGAAACAGCTGACAAGTTACGACTTAGATCTGCAACGAAAGCAGGGGCAGATTTGAAGATTTTAATTGATTTCGTTGGGAATGTTTTAGAAGCATTCACTCAACCTTTCTTTCCGTCACCACTCAGCCATCGGAACAACAATTATCAAAATGTATTTTAAGCAGTATTACGTATTTCGTAAAACTCCTCCGTTATATAGGATGCGTATATTTTTAAGCAGTATATAAACATTGCTTTTGCCTACGGTATTTCAACGAATATTATCCATAATCAAAGAGCATAGAAAGGCTTTAAGCTGTATAACCCTGTGAGGAATGCTTATAAGAGCTTAGCATGCATCAAAATGACCATGAAAACTTTTGATTTTTATTTCGCAGATTTTCAGTCTTCGCGGGGGATTCTGAAACGCACTGCCCACGATCAAAGAGGGATCACTGTAATCAATTTACAAGTATAAGGCATGAAAGAGCGGACAGAGGTTTCGTAAATTCATTATAATCTCCGCTGTAGCGATCAGCCTTTTGACTGAGGCATTAATTCCTTAAAGAATTCTTGGCGGCTCACACAGAGACGATAGGAAATGAGCAAGGCAAAAAAACGCGACGTTACTGATGAGAAATCCATATGATTTACTACCGATATGTGAACGAGGGAGATAAATGCAGATTACTTAATGAGGTACAGATCGGCGTGCGACCATTTGGCTATAGAAAGTAAAAATGCCACCTTGTGCTACATTATATATTCCTCCGCGGATCGAACCTTGAATTCATCTTTTTGTTCAAATAGTGCACAATTCTACGCCGCATTTATAGTGTCTTCAATATAGATGTATATACATTACGTGATTTTAGTAAAAATTATTTAACAAACCGGTTTTGTAAGTAGGTAAAGGGCTAGTGCTCATATGCTCCTAACATTTGAGCCAGCGAAAATAAACTCGAAACACTAGCGTGCGTCCCAGATGTTTTAGGTACTAAAACAAACTGACGCAGTTGTTAATTGGAAAAACATTCCGATCCAACTGTGTCAGCACTAAGGTGGATATGGCCACAGCCTAGTCCGAGTGGTCCTTTGTCTTCTATTTGTAGAACAATTGACGAATAATACTGCAGAAACAATCGAGCAAGTAAAATACCTATCGTCATTTGCATTTGGGGATGGAGTTTGGTTGGAGCACCTGTTCAAATCCGGAAACTACACTGTCGTTTGGCCCCGCCCATCCTCGTCCATACGGCGAGCCAACATTTGCTTTCCCATAGGTGGCCCATCCTAACCCCATTCTCCAAATGTAACTAACAAGAGCCAATTTAATTGTTAGATTGCTTCTACAGGATGACCTAGACAAAGAACTACCCCCCACTGTCTGCACTACAAGTTGCACGCGACTTCAAAAAGATGCCCTTCAAGGTTAACGATCTTCATCGACAGTTGGCCAACGGATTCTAGTCCAGTAGTGTGTGATGTACACTTACGCATACGTACATCAGTAGACGCATGTTTGAGATAGCCCCATGAGCATTATTGCACACAATTGGGTAAATGCAGGCCAGAGTTTGTAACAACTACGAAAAAGCCACGTGGTTTCGCTTCGGCTTTTACGCGAACAGCTCAGCTCCCTTTGTACAAGCTCTCAACATTTAATAACCCTCTTGAGCTGGCGAATCTAATTATCAATACATAAACTAAAATCAGTCTTTGCTAGCTAATTCCGTTGATATCGGAAGACACAAGCCATTGACTTTAAGAACAAGGCCACCACCTTGTCTATGAACTCCGTTATCGCCGGCGTTTTGCTAAAAATGGGATCAGATGATCATAAAAACGGATGGACAGAGCAGTCTCAAAAGCAATGACTTCGGAAATTAGCCGATACGTTGCTGTGGCGCCCGTGACGTCCATCTGGGTTATTCAGAATGCGGCCCCCCTCCAACGCTCCCCCCTCTTGAACCACCGAATTTTTTCGGTGCTTCGTTCCTGAATAGAAATTCTTCGTCTTTCTCCCAAACTCGATCCAATTTATTCTGAATCGCATCTTGAAATGTATGCTACAGCAGTTGTTTTTACGGTCATTTATCCCTCTGCCGTGTTAAACGAACGAGGAAAAGCGTTATAAATACCAATGTGGCCGTCCACCTATGAATTTTCCACACATTGGTGAAAGACATTATATAAAGTAACAATACATAACCTATATTAACATTTAAGTTAAATGATAATGCATGGGACATTTGGCCATATTAGGCATTTCCAGCGAATATACATGCCGGAGGATGAGAGCCGGCTTGATAATACCTAAAGGCAAATCAATTTTCGATGAAGTGGGTGCTCCATTATGAACTCTGTTAATTGATGCTAGATGCATCGTTTGTAATAGAGTAGAAAAGTGCGCGTCTAAATTTAGTGCCAGACGCTGACGTAGAAAATGTAGAAGGTATGTAATGTCGTATTGACAAAAGGCAGTCAGAGGTTAGACGAATCGAAATTTAAAGTCAGTCAAACAAACTACGGTTGTTGAAGACAAATGTCTGTAGTTAAACGCAACTGACGCTTGAGTGGAAGCTGTAGTGAGGAGCAGCCGTCCAAATTGCCTCTTTATAAAGATTCCTTGTGAATTTCGGTCTCGAAAGACGAAAATAATCCCCTGTATTTAAATCTCTCTCATTTGAAATATCCAAAACCTAAATGAATTCAAATAGTGCAGCATCATAAAAATTCAATTAACTTGTCTACCATGTCAAACACTCCGCCAAAAAGCTTGACGCGACATCCGTGTAACCGATTTGCACTTTTAGTACAAATTTTTAATACCTTCAAAAATTTAACTCAGTCGAAGGAGGTTTTTATGCAACCAAGTTAAAGGGGTTGCGAAACGCTTCAAATCAATCGCAGTACATCTGTGTTCGCGCCATTTGAGGCCTCACTTCATTTAAGCAAACTGGCTTGAGTACGTCAACAGTCAAACTATGCCGACAAAACCTGACGGTGTGACTGTTTTTATATCCTTGGAGTACTGTTTTGTTTGGTAAACAGTTTGTTGAATTATAAAAACAGCTATTGGTTTAAAACCCAGAGGTTTTGCAGAACTTTTTCTGCCACGTGATGCGACAGAAAATATTCAGTTTTTAGTGTGTCCCCGGGTTTTCAAATGCAATGGCTGAAGTTTTATATGCCCTTAATTGGTGAAATTTAAGAAAGTTCTGAACAACATGTAAATCCA